CTTTTTTGGGTTACCTAGGTTCTACGTATGTTGTTATGTATGATAATCTATGTAACTGTATTTGTGTATACCTGAATAAACTTACTTACATACATACGAAAGGAATAATTTTCTACAGTTACCCCCAGGTAACACATTTACTCTTTATGTTAGATTAGAGAAAATGTTATTCTTTGCCGTCACTTGTACAAGTTATGTGGCTCCCACATCTTATATTTATGTTTTTTATTCTATTGGGGGGTGTATTTATCATCTTTTTATGTTATGTATCGTGTTTATTATATAATTTTGAAAAAAATATCATGGATGGATTAATGAAAATGTGTATATTACCGTAATATACGACATTTAATGAGACTCAGTATTGTTATTATCACCACTTGTGCAAGTCGTCTGCTACGACATCTCACATTTGTTTATTTATTCTACTGTGGGGTGTATTTATCTTATTTATATGTTATGCATCGTGTTTATTATATAATTTTGAAAAAAATATCATGGATGGATTAATGAAAATGGTATATTACCGTAATATACGACATTTAATGAGACTCAGTATTGTTATTATCACCACTTGTGCAAGTCGTCTGCTCACATCTCACATTTGTTTATTTATTCTACTGTGGGGTGTATTTATCTTATTTATATGTTATGCATCGTGTTTATTATATAATTTGAAAAAAATATCATGGATGGATTAATGAAAATGTGTATATTAACGTAATATACGACATTTAAATGACTCGATGTATGTAAGTTTATTTAGGTACAGGTATACATAAGTATAATTATCAGAGTATATATAAAATATGAAATAACTTTTAAAAACATTTGAAATTTTGGAGTTTCCAGACAAAATGGAGAGACTTAGTGCTTACTGAGCTCATGGAGAATGTAAACAAACAGGGTGGGGCACGGTGACCGTATTAGAAAGTCAGGTGGGGGGAGCCGTATAGTGAGTTTTGGTCATAATTTGAAATGTCCGTATTAGCGGAACGCCGTAAAGCGGAACGCCGTAAAGCGGGGCCCTCCTGTATATTACCTTGCTCATACACCAACAGCTTGTCAAGTCCCAAAAAACCATTCGTCATTCACTCCTATCTAACATGCTCACACAGGTCCATACTTATGAATTAATCCTAGTAAAAAGATTGTCAGAAATGCAAAAATATACTGAACAGAATAAATACTGAGATGTTTATTATAAAATTTGCAATAGGAAAATGTAACCAGAATAAAGCCTATAATACACTAGTTATGAAGTTGAAATGGCTATGTAAAGCATTAAATAAAAACAAGCAGTGAGGCTAAAGGGGTATGGGGTAGATTTAGAAATGAAGTGTTAGTGTTCAGCAGAAGTTTGTGGTTACAGGAAAGTGGGTGCAGGAAGGAAAAAGAGCAATTGGTGGAATGAAGAGGTAGAGATAGTAGTAAGATAAAATATTAGCATATGAGAGGTTTTTACAAAGTAGAAGTGATATAAGAAGGGAGGAATATATGGAGAGAAAAAGAGCAGTTAAGAGAGTTGTGGAAGAATGTAAAAGGAGAGCAAATGAACGAGTGGGTTAGCTGCTATCAACAAATTTTCTTGACTTAGAAAAAGTGTTGGGAGTGAAATTAATATATTGAAAAATTCTAGGTATGAATGGATTTGATAGATAAAAATAGGAGTGGAGAGTTAGAGGTATCAGGAAGATGGAGGGAATACTTTTGAGGAACTGTTAAATGTTGAAGATAGGGAAGCTGTGATTCTGTGCATTGGAAGAGCTAGTTGTGAGTGTAGGGAGGTGCATGAGGTAGTGGGTAGAATGAAAGTGGGTAAAGCAGCTGGGATTGATACGATAAAGTTGTGGGAATATGGCTTTGGAGTGGGTGCTTTTATTTAATAAATGTATGGAAGAGTGTATACGGTACCTAGGGATTGGCAGAGAGCATGCATAGTTCCTTTGTATAAAGGCACAGGGGACACAAAAGTATAAAAATTATAGGGAATAAGCCTGTAGAGTATACCTGGTAAAGTGTATAGTAGTTATTGAAAGACATGAGAGTAAGACGGAGAGCAGGATCACAGATGAACAAGGCGGCTTTAGGAAGGGTAGGGGGTGTGTAGACCAAGTGTTTACAGTGAAACATATGGGTGAACAGTATTTAGGTAAGGGTAGGGTAGGTTAGGATAGGAGAACAGTATGGCAAATGTTGCAAATGTATGAAATAGGAGGTAGGTTACTGAAAGTTGTGAAGAGTTTTTACAAAAATAGTGAGGCTCAGATTAGAGCATGTAAGAGAGAGGAAGATTATTACCCAGTAAAAGTAGGCCATAGACAGGGATGCATAATGTCACCATGGCTGTTCAATATGTTTATAGATGGGGCAAGAGAAGTGAATGCTTGGGTGTTGGCAAGAGGTGTGGGATTAAAAGATAAAAAATCTTCACACGAAGTAGGAGTTGTCGCAATTGCTTTTTGCTGATGACTCTGTTTTGGGGAGATTGAGAAGTTGCAGAGGTTAAGGATGAATTTGGCAGGGTATGTAAAGGAAGGAAATTAAAAGTGAACATGGGATAGAGTAAGGTGGTGGTAAAAAATTTAGGTAATGACAGGTTGGAGGGAGGGAGTATGGAGGAAGTGAATGTATTAAGATATTTGGGAGTTGACTTGGCAGCAGATGGGTCTAGATAGACAAGATGAATCATAGTATAGATGAGGATGAAAAAGGTGAGTGGAGCACTGAGGAGTCTGGAGGTAAAGAAACATTATCTAAGGAAGCAAAGAGGGGAATGTATGGGAGTATAGTTATACCAACGCTCTTATATGGGTGTGAAGCATAAGTGGTGAATGTTGCAACAAGAAGGCTGGATGCAGTGGAGATGTAATGTTTAAGGGCAGTGTGCATACAATGCAGAGAATCCATAGTTTGGAAATTAGGAGGTGTGGGGTTACCAAAACTATTATCCAGAGGTCTGAGGAGGGGTTCCTGAAAGGATATAACAAAATAGAATGACTTGGAGAGCATATAAATCAATAGTGGAAGGAAGGCAGAGTAAGGGTCGGCCTAGGAAAGGTTGGTGGGAGGGGGTAAAGGAGGTCTTGTGCTTGAGGGGCTTGGGCTTCCAGCAAGCACACATGAACATGTTCGATAGGAGCAAGTAGAGACAAATGGTTTTTATGACTTGACGTGCTGTTGGAGTGTGAGTAAAGTACATAACATGTATGAAGGGATTCAGGGAAACCAGCAAGCCAGATTTGAGTCCTGGAGGTGGGAAGTACAGTGCCTGCACTCTGGAGCGGTGTTGATATATTGCAGTTTTTTTTTACTGTAGGTGTGCCTCTGGCAAGACAGTGAATGATGAAAGTGTTTCTTCTTTTTTGGGGTCACCCTTTGATGAGGGCCATTCGTATTCTGTCCATTACTCGGAGAGAATTAGCGTCAAGCAGAGTAATTTGTTTTAGTCAGCAATTGAGATAGACGTATGATGCACTAGTGGGACTCCCTTATTCCCGTTCCTTCTTTATTAGTAATGAAAGTTGATCTTATGTGGCGTGGGAGTAATAGGGCCACCACATCCTTGGTGGGAAATGACCGATGCGTTAAAAATAAAAATAAAAAAATCACAAGGAAATTTCCTTAATGTACTGTACATACCAGAAGTGGTGTACAGAGTTAATGTAAGAGATGGTAATTGATTACAATTTTAGGAAGGTCATTCAGTACTTATGGTAGCTTGTAAGTGGAAGTTAGCTTGAAGCTATTAAACACTGTTGTTTATCAATATTTGGGATACTTGCTCTTATGGATATTCAGTTTTCTAATATGTAATATTTTTTTTTTTATAGGAGGCAAAGCTGTGTGTTAAAGAGAAATTTGCAACAAATACAATAAAATATTTTGTGGCGATCACACTGGAATGGGTAATAGATCGTGATGTGAAGAAAAGAAGAATGGTTGGTCAGTTGTACCATGACCTTATTGTAGAAAATCTTCTCTCAGTAGATCAGTTACTTGAAGGGTAAGCATTTCATCTGAAGTTTTGTGATGTAGGGATGACAAGATAAATTCTTCCATTTCATGATAAGTATAGAAGCTTGACTGAATCAGTGTCTTATTAATTAGTATGGAAATTAGTAAAATTTTAATGTGTAATTTCAGCTCTCAAAGCACACTCAGAATGACAGAGGATTATATAATTGATATCCCTCAAGTATGTGACTATCTGGGAGAAGTATTCGGTAAGTACCTGCTGTGTTTGATATTTTTTGGTATTTGATAATGGATGAAGAAATGTGAAATAATTGTGATGGATATACATGATGTGAAATATAGGAAGTTACTAATTTTAATTGTTCTCTATACCATACTTAATACCTTTTCTTCAGCTCCCTGCCTGAATGATAATGCTGTCTCTCTAAAAAGACTTCTAGAACTAGCCAGTTTTGCTAAGAGCAAGAAAGCAAATGTATTTGCCTGTATTTTAGCAAAAGCATCACAGATCATGGTATGTTGATAATAGTTTGTTTTACTGGATAAGTAGAAAATGCAAGTTTAAATTTCTTTATTACAAATGTATTATGGGTAATGAAATAAGAGAAGGCAATAGTTGAAACAAAATTTAGACTTTGTATTTATATAAATGTGGAGATAATGAACAAAAGTAAAAAGTGCGATTGAGGAAGTTTGTAATGCATTGTTTAGTGATTGTCAGAATAACTTTGTTAGCCCTTTGTATAGTGGTAGACATGTGGTTTAGTGAAGGCAACTTAATTGAATTTGGTTAAAGATAAGTTGCTTGATTCATTGTTAAAATTCTATTTTATTTTTTATTTTTATTTTTTCAGTCTCCTAACAAGGTAGCTGATATGTGGAATACCTCTGGTCTTAGTTGGTGTTCTATAATTCCCCCTGGTGAAAGTAATGAAGCTTTCCTTGACAAACATGTAAGTAAATGTGTATTTTTTTTTTATCTTATCCAGTATCCATAATTTCATGGGTTACAT